AGGGAGAGAGAAGGAAAAATGGAGCGCGCGGCCGGATCGATCGCGATACGAACGGATGGCTGACTCGAGAGTGAACCGCGAGCAAGTAGCGTAGTCGTCTGATTCGACCCGACGTGCAGGATCCGTGCTGTGCTCTGTCGGCGCCATTGAAACGCCACCACGAGCCCGTCACGGGAAAAACGGCGACGTCGCGAACGGGTCGAGTGATCATCCCCCGGCATCTCTCGCGATTCTGCGTCGCGGACAGCGGAGAGGGAGGGACAGAGCCTGGTGTGTGGTGAAAGTGCTCATCGCGTGATTAGGTCGAGGTCGTGTCGCTCGTCGCAGGGACCCGCTCTCTCTCCATTCCGGTTGACCTTCGGTGCCGGGGATGAAGCGCGAAATCAGGTGACGTTCCACGCGATTCGGATTGACTTGCTCGAGCCATCCCGCGAGCAATTCCGAGACGTGTATCCCGCCGAAAGAGCCGCGGGTGAAAGTGTGTCATCGAAGCGAAGCGTTACGAGGTGACTCTCGAGGTTTAGATCGCGACTTAGGCATCCTCGACGCCAAGTCTCGATATCTCGACATCGTGACAGTCGTCCCCTACATTGTTATGCGCAACCTATTTAAGGATTCTTTAAGATACGGAAGCTCGGAGAAACAGCAGGAAAGTCGTATCAACGATCTTTTGAAAATTATTGAATTTTCCACATCCTTATCTTCTCGATAGAGATCGCCCAGTCTAGATTCACAAATGCGTAATTAAAAGACTCTCTCAGTAAATAATGTATATACGTAATTTATTTTGTCATTGATTTGTGAAGAGTTAACTTCTTTACTCCTCGTGCTTCGATGTTGATCCGACTGACAGTGATTCTAGTGGAATGAGAAGAATCAGAAGAAATAACTTGATCATCTTTTAAAAAATCAGAATCTTGGAGGAAACGAGAAAAGGCATTAGATGTGTCTTGTGAACGGATTGTAAAGGAAGTCACGCTCTGTGAGACATCTGAGCAAAACGTCGATACTTCTTTTGCTCCATCGAACACACATTAGTGACTGTGATCGATATTGATTGATTTTCCGTAAAAATATAATGCTGGTACTAAGAGATTGAACTCTACTGTAATTGAACGGCGTATTAAGTATTAAATCTAACTGATGTTCTTCGGAGAGGAAAATACGTCATTCTCTAGCCTCAATCTCCGGTTTAAATTGTACATATAATAAAAACGTGAAATTAAAGCGCTTATACCTCGAGAAACTTTCCGTTGTCAATCGATTGGTGTACATTATACGCGCGTTAAAGAGCACACAAATATTGTGGATTCTCTCATTGCGTTTTCAGTGAACTCGGGAGATAATTTACGAATCTTGATGCGTCCAAATAACAGACTGAACTTGAAATTGAAGACATATCCAGAAATATCGACTTTTATGAAAATAATGAATGAATTTCATGCTAACTGAAATAATTCTATTTGAGATAAGATTTGAAAAAGGGTATCATTTTACTAACAATTACTATCAAAGTTTTCATAAGTATTTATCGTCGTAACTTTCTCAAAAGGGGGATCTTAATATTAAATAACGAAGATAAATAGCAATTTGGAACGAACGTGTCCGATCATCAAGTTCATCAATTTTTCAAGACGATATTGGAAACAACCTTCCCGCTCGACAAGTTTGTTCAGCAAGAGCTCACGAGAGAACTCGAGAAACAGTTAACCGAAGGCACTTTAAGGATAATTTACACGGCGAGAAAAAAAAAAGAGGAAAAGAGAGAGACATACAGGCGAGTACGCACGAGCAGCGCGTACGATCACAAAATCGCATATCACACCCAGCCCACGCACGATTCGCGCGTGCGTGCTCACGTGCTCACGGATGCAACCGGGTGGTGCAACGTGGCCAGCATCACGCACCCACGCTTCGAGCGCCCACGCGAGATGCGTATGAGCGCGTGACGTCCTTCGTCACACGAGAACGGGCCGATTGAGCGGATGAACAGAATCTAGCGGGAGATCCCAGTCCAAGAGTGAATCATGCGTCCCACGCTTTTGCCGGCGCCGCTTCTGCTGGCGGTGCTGTTCGCCTGCCAGGTAGCCCGCTGCTTCCTGCTGGAGGGTTCCGCGACGAGCTACGCACAATTTCGCAAATGGAATGCCGGCCTGAACGGCACCCTCGAGTTCGAGTTCAAGACCGAGCAGGGTAACGGGCTGCTACTGTACACGGACGACGGCGGCACTTACGACTTCTTCGAGGTGAAACTGGTCGAGAGCGCTCTCAGACTGAGGTACAATCTTGGCGGCGGGGCGCAGATCGTCACGGTTGGCCACGACCTCGGCGACGGCCATTGGCACAAGGTACAGATCAGCAGGTGCAACGAGAACACTACCCTGACTGTGGACGGTGTCGGCGCGGTCTCGACGTCGCGCGGCAAGGAGTTCGAGTTCGGCAAGCTCGCCGGGAACTCGGACGTCTACGTGGGCGGTATGCCTAGCTGGTACAACAGCAAGCTGACGCTGTTGGCGCTGCCTAGCGTGATATTCGAGCCAAGATTCAATGGATTTATTAGGAATCTCGTGTATGCCGACGGGGAGAATACGGTGCCCAGAAGGCAGGAGATGAAGAGTCGGGATGTCAAGGTATGTGAGAGATATACTACTCATTTCTTTTTGTATCTACTTCGTTCGACATCACGAGATTTTTAGCTTCTCGATTGGTTTAAACCGGAAAATATTTTACTGAAATTCTACGGAAAATGTACAATTCTATAAACGTAGATCCTAAATGCAGATTCGTGCTATTTTCGCGAATCCTTCACGATGCATTCACAATGTCAAGCATAGCTGATGACTCTTTTTTGTACAAATCCCGTTTGAAATCGTGACATAATTAATAAAATGATAATAACATTGATATTATTATGTACAAAATTGCGTTGCGTTCATATTTTGTTTTTATTATTTCCTTAGTCGCTCGTAATTTATCATATGGTTTAATTCTTTTTGTAAAGAGGTAGTATTACCGTAATATACGTGACCGAAATAAGGGAAAGAGTCGTTCGCTGATCGAAAGTCGCCGGCAAATTGGGAGAATGCCAATTATGATTTATTGAACAGTCCAATTTAATAGACTATACATCCTACCCGGCGCAATTAAGCCAATGGCAGACAGAAAAACTTAGGCAGTAATACATAAGCAGTAAACAAATCAACATTTTGAATTTATTAATGCTTACATTAATGCTTTACGTTCTTCTGTAATTGACTGATTCGCAGTAAATTGATTCCAAGTAAACTGACGTCATTTATCATCATTTTGACGACAAATTACATTTATCTGAGCTACTGCTTACATCTTACTACTTAAGTTTTTCTGAGTGTCATTGGCTTTATACTAGAAAACAAAAATTCTGTCTAACTTAAGACCTGCGACATGGAATAAATTATTTATCAACTTGATGTTTCTCCAATCTGAATTATTCTGTCGAGGAACATCGCATTTTTCCTCCAAGAATTGCGTCTATTAATTAGTATGTTGCAACGACATCTAAGATGTTATGACAAAAAAAACGCTGTATTATAATCTGAGAGTAGTCATTTGATTTTTTTTACGCAAATGGTCACTCGGGATATTTTTACACTCCACTTAAAAATTACTATTATTGATATTGTAATGTATATTATTATTTTCCGATTTACTAGTATTTGAGAACATAAATTTATTCACAATTTTTCGAAAAAAGCAAGAAATCAAAATATTAAACAAAATATTAAACAAACGGAATTAGCATCAAAAAATATAATATCCAGCGCTGACTCCTAACGCCTAGTTGTATTTTGCTATTATATTTCATCGGAATAAGCAAGTTAAATAATTTATTACGACAGTATTAAAAAAAAAACTAAAGATGTTAATTAATAAAACACTTTATTGCGAGTTTTCGATAGAATTGAATATTTAAAGCTTCTTAAGGAATAATTGCTAAAATCAAATTTATTAAACAATATCCATTGCATTTTACAATTTACATTTTCTCATCGCCGCGCTGGGATAAAAAATAGGTTATTTCCGTATTAATAAAAAAACTTAGTCTCTATTTCTCATTCATTTTTTATATTATTCATTCGTTGAATGACAATTAATAACAAAAACTCATCAAGGGAAACCCATTATCTTGCCGTAAGCAAAATTTTTTTAAGGTCAAATATAAAAAGACAGAATATTAAATTATTATTACTACATTAAGAAAGTACTATTTAACTGGATAATTCATAAAACGTTTTATTTAAAATTAATATAAAAGAAGAACAATATAAAAAAATCTATGTTTTTTTATATCTAGGAGGCTTCTTAAATTGAAAAATATTTTGGCAATACCAAAATTGTGATTTCATAAAGAATTAAAATATATATAATATTTTTTTGTTATGAATATTATTAAAAATGAAGACTTCAAGAAGAGGGCATGACTTCCATGCTCCCGTGAAATCGCCAGTGACTACAATGACATAACTAAAAATTGACAATTTAAAATTCATGGAAAAAAAAACGAAATATATAGAAAAAAAATAGAAAGAACATACCTAATTTTCATTCTTTTATAATTAAAATTACACTAAAATTACATTTCAAAATTAATATTACAAAATGTTCAAATTCATTTTCTGGAAAACTTTGTTTTTTGAATCGTGCCGTGTTGTCGTCACAAATAAGCGGTATTATTTCATACCCTTTTTGGTCGCATTCGCGCATTCTGTATTAAAGCTGTAGTACAATATGAAATGCGAAGCGCGAAAGTTGTCGTCTTCTTTCAATGAATCGATATACGGTAGTCAGAACAATACACATTGTATATCCAGCAGTTCATTGGCTCCCGTGTGCAACACCGCGCAACCAGTAGCTGAGTCAGGTTCATCGAGAGATTCCTCTTGACGCGTACTAACGCGAAAAGCGCGTATGCGTTCGCTCCGTCAGCGTAAAATCAAGACTTTCCCTATCGCGAATCGCGCATAAAAGACTAAAAATAAATTCCTTCCATTTCAAAAAAAAAAGAAGACCTTCGTCATCCCTTCTTTCTTTCCGCGCCGTTTTATCGTTCACTTCCGACGATCGATACTCCCTTCATTGTTCAGAGACAACATCTTCGGTATAACAGAGTCTTTTCTTCCTTGATTTTGTGCGTGGGATAATTAGCAGACAGATAATCCGTTTGTTCAAGTAAAAATTCCTTCCGAATACGCTTTTTCTATCTTTTGAGAATTTTGCGAAACGCTTGTCTACGCAAAGGTCTGTTTAATTGTTGGATATGTTTTATACGTATTCTCTCAGGAACTGGAAAGGTCTGTTTATTCATTTTTTATGTTGTAAAGCTCATTATGCTTTCTATGTCTAGTTAAAAATTAAACTCTACGAAATAATATTTGTAGCTGTTTCAATTTCTGACACTATAATTCTCTTTACTGTTATTTTAATGTAATAATAATAATATCAATATTGATATTAACTTTTGAGCCTGTCTAAGAGAATTAAGACGACTTTCTTTCTTTCTTTCTTTCGACTGTACAATACGTTCCATTTCAATGTGCCTGTCTGCTGGCGCCCCATGACAGAATTTACTACGTGTTACCGTAGAATCGAGCTCGGTTCATATTTCTCTCGATGGCCGTCTGCCAAGAATTCCTCCATCTACTCTTCGGATATGTATCCCGCTTTATCCAAGTATTCCTGGAATTTTGTATCTCATTCCGAAAGTAATCTTGTACTTAGCAAATAACAGTCAGACATGCTTGTTATTCTCGCAATGATAGCCAACGTCTCGATATCGAAAATACAAATTGATGTTTCTTTTTTATTTATATCGTGATGATAAAATTAGATATTTGTACTATGATCTATAAAGCTATATGAATATTGTTATATAGTTTAACCGTTTATGTAATATAAAGGTATATTAATTTATATACATTTTAAATTTCGAAGTATTAATCTTTTTACTAATACTTAAATTGGGAACCCAAACTAATTGTAATTTATAAAAAACATAATTTTAATTTGCAAAAAAGTTACTACAGATAGTTGGCTAGCACTACAAAAATGACTACTTAAAAGATTAAGGATACATTACATGTGCTTTTTAACAAAATGAAGAGATTATGAAAATATAGATTTTTCTGTATTGTATTTGTGAAAGTAATACAAAAACTTCGGCGGTGATTTAGAATTTAAAAGAAAATTTCTATATGAAGTAGATATTTTTAAAACATACTTAAATAACAAAATTTTTAGCTAAATTATAAAATTATATTGTTATATAAAGATAATGATCAAATTGAACTGTTTTCATATACAATATTTGTTTTTATACGGAAACTATAAATTTCCATTTCCAGTCATTTTTTTCCGGAGACACCTCATACATTCTTAGTCCTTAAATGTCATCGTAGGTCTATTGGATCCAATTTTTCAACGTTTGTCAAAGATTGTTTATCACCATGCTTTAAACAAGGATCAATGTAATACTAATTTTTAGATTTTATTATTAGTTTTGATTAACAATAGATAAATGATAGTCTAAACATCAAAAAAATTAATAAAAATATTTTCAAGATTAATGATTTCTTTACGATGTCAGTTAAGAGTTAAGTAAGAGATATTCGTAAATTTACTAAGTCACTTTGCTGCTCGATTGGCTACATGCGGTTACGAGGCGCGCATCCGTTTACGATTAGATAAGGCGACAAATCGAGAATATCCGTCAGGAGGATCACCATGCGATTGCCAGTACAACGATGTAACCCGGTCGACATTATCGTTCTCCGTACATCCATACGTGACGTTACGGCGACGCAGCTAGATAACCCAGATTTATCAGTGCGCAAGAAATTGTGGACAACACATTATTATTTAATTATTTCTCTCTCATACATATATAGAATAATAATTTCTGACAATTATTATCTGAAATATATTAGTATTTTGCTAATCGAATTAATAAAGGAAGAAAATCAGGATCTTGTAAATTCATCATTTCCAAATTTCAGATGTGCGAGTTGAGGATTCATATTCTATTACATTATAATAGAATACGTGTAGTAGAATAGCCTCCAATTATCATTTTTTAATGGTCCCTTTCTTTTAAATCCGTTCTTGATTCTCTCATTGCAACTCTCGCCGTTTTACCTTGTCTCCTATTATACGAGCAGGGAAGAATGGAAGATAAACGAGTTACGCTCGATAGAAAATCTTCATTTCCCGCGCGAAACGCCTCTCCAACTGCCGGTTGCTACGTATTAATATTATTTTTCTGTCGTTAACGTTGTAATGTACACGCGGCACGAAAAGCGATTATCAGACAGGGGACGATCAATGGGCTACAAATGACTGTCGTGAAAAAAGCGAGCAATTACTCGTAGGAAGCAATTATTTCGTACCTGTTACACCTTCACTATGACTATATCGCGAACAGAATAAATTAAACAGTTAAGTAAATAGAGAGAATAAGAAAAGGATCATTTATAGTGCTCTATGTGATTGGATTTCGGAGCTAGCAAATGTCGCTAATGTCAAATTGTAGATTGTTAATGTAGTTAACTTAAATGCTTTAAAGGCCTCTCTCTCTCTCTCTCTCTCTCTCTCTCTC